TTGCAAAATCCAGAATGATACATAAAAAAAATAAAAATGTCAGTCATATGAAACCTTGATCTAAAAAAACAGACTATAAGAAAGCTAGAATCAAAATATGTAACTATAGTCTTTATAAATAATACAATGTAAATAGCAAGATCTAAGGGAAATATGAAAATGATTTTGAAAACTCAAGAATCTTCTACAAAGCCAATAATTCTCAAATAAATAGCAATAAATTAGTTTTGATTATTATTAACAATCCTAATTGCTATTTCGAAGAAGTAAAAACAGGTACTAAAGAAGAAGTAGCTAAAGAGCTCGATAGAACAGAACAGGTTAAATTCTTAGGAATATGAATGAGCAATCAAAAAAATAACAATAAAGTTTAAAAAACAAGTGCTTAAAGAAATTAATATAGTCATAAGAGTCCTTAAATGTAAAAAGGTGACAAACAAATAAGCTCTCTATATTCTGAATAGAATATTAATACTTAGAATAGAATTTAGAATACAATATAGTATATTGTTCTGGAAAATATGCAACATCTTGATAATAATATATAGAAAACTTTTCAAGAATAAGAGTGGTTTATGCAAATCTATACCCAATAGCATAATTCATCATCCAAAGATTCATAATTTGAAAAGTGTTTGGATGCTACAAAGAGAAAGTCAAGTGACAGAACTTTGCAATAGACTAAATGATCCTGGATCAGCAGAAATCACAATAATCATTAAACTCAAACAAGCACAGATCAAAAATTGTGAACCATTTAATTTATTAATTTGCAAATCCTTAAGTCACTTAATAGACAAAAGCAACTTTATACTTCAAGTAACCAGAATTGTTAAAGATATGGGAATAATGTTTCATAGTTAGAAATAGCAAGATATCTTTGAATGGAAAAAGGAAAATATTTGAATCAGAGAATATCTTGTATCAAAAGAATATAAAAAAGTCATATCATCACTTAAAAACAATAAACTGATATACCTAATTTAGTTGATTGATTAGGAAATCAAAAAAATAAGAGATTGGCAAATACTTTAGCTCCTGCAAGATATAAGCAAAGAATCTATACCAGAATAGTCCCAAATTATAGCCAAAAACTTTTCAGGAGAACAACTAAAGTAGTTTATAAGATTCTGGGAAGAAAATTATATAAAATAGAAACTAAAATACTCAAAAATAGAATCTAATTAAGACAAGTAGAAAAAATTGTGGATAGTGATGAAAAGCAAAAAAAATCAAGTAATTTGGAAAAATTAAGACAAGAAAAAGAAAGAAATGTTATAATAGTGGTACACTTTGTCAGTTGCAACATCAATAATAATTAGGAGACTAATATACAAAAATGCTCAGAATGTTTAGAAGGCACAATACTAAATAGTAACTGCATCATAGAAAGAAACATAGAAGAGATATATACAGTACTAATATCTCAATATGAGAAAGTTTACCATAAGTTTAAAAATCCTCAATCCTAGGTTAGCACTTGAAAAAAAAATTAAAGAAGTAATTTACAGAGACCAAAGCCTATTTAAGATCCAAAATGATAGAGTAAATCACATGAATATTGAAACCTGAGAAAAATCCATTATCAGAGAAAATATTAAAGAGGGAGCATATCAATATTATTTGATAACTATACTTCAATGTAATCTTGAATTTAAAAAAAAGTCAATCTTTTATTCTGATAGATTACTTATTAATAATATTAAAGAAGAAATAAAAATGGGAGTAGCTTGAATTCAGATCAGAAAAGATGGAAAGAAAAGCAAGTTTCAAACAGAAGTAAACAAGTGGCTCTTATTTATAAGAGTTGAATTGGTAGCAATTATAATAATACTTCTGGTAGTTCCAATTAAAAGCATAATAGAAATCTTTGCTGTCAGTTAGGTATATATTTTCAAGTAAAAATCTTTAGAAAAAAAAGATTCAAGAAGGATACACAAGAAATGGCTCAAAAAAAAATTGATCCCTTTGAACATGCATAATAGAATTAATAAAAAAGAAAAAATATAGATTTAAAGCTCATAAAAGTCAAAACACACTTAAATGATTCTTATATAAAGAAGCAGATATCTTAGCTAAAGAAGCTCTAAAATTTCTACCAATTGAATAGAAAGATCTCACTTTACACAAAATTTTTATTGAAATCAAGTGACAAGGGATGACTCTAGATAATTCAATTAGGCAATTTATTAAGAGCATTAATAATAAGACAACAATTTATCAATGGACACAACAAAATAGAATGGAGAAAAAATGAAGTTGATAGATTTCAAAGTACCAGGCTTATATATGGGATATAGTATTGGAAAGAGTTAAAGATAGGTAGATGTGGGATACATCTTTTAAACAATCCAAATAAAGAAGCTTTCTTATTAAACTGATTAATGATGAACTATCTACGTTAAGTAAATTGGCTATAAAAAAACCAGACCCATACAAGCAAATGAGATATATTGCATATAGCCAATAAGATGAAACTATAAAACATTTGCTAGAATGTTCAGTCTATAAGAGTCAACTAAAGAGGCATAAAATAAAGGAGTAGATAGAATCATCAGAAACTTTAAAGAGCTACCATGGGAAAGAAAGAGAGTAACTAAAGAGAAAAATCTCAGATTAATCATTAATGATCGAGAAGAAATAAGAGAGTTTGACAAGTGAATCTCTAAAGTAATAGAACAGACTTCTAAAACTAGCTAAAATATACTAGGTTTCTATACTGGTCTTATAAAAACAAATATTATCATAGAAATGATAGATTTAAAACATCAAGAAAAACACATAGAAAGAATAGTAAGAAAGTGAATAATAAAAATGTAAAGAAAAGTCTATAATTAAGTCTGAAAAAAAGTTTGAACCAAGAGATATAAAAAGATAATTTAATGAAAATAAATACAAGAAATTGATAAAGAAAACAAGACAAGAAGACTTTCATATCTTTTAGACAAAAAAACTATGCTTCTAAAGAAAAGAGACCTACTACCTAAAGAAGATAAAGGCTTTTAAGAAATTCTAATAAGAAAAGTGAAATATGAATGGGTTTTAAGCTCTATTAAAATTTTACAAGATGATTTGCAGTAATGACTTGCAGACAATGAAATTAACAGTTGAAAGAGTTTTTATCTGAATTGTTAATAGAACAATAAATTACTCCTGAAGTTGTACTTAGAGTTTTAATAATTCTTTAAAATACAAATAAGTGAGTTAGGTAGAGATTTAGCTTTAGTAATACATTTTCTAATATAAAGTATATATATATTTAATAAAGCATATACAGTATACCTAGTTTAACAGAGGGTTTTAAAAAAAAAAATAATAATAAAATAAAAAAATTAATAAATTTATATATGAATTTTTCGATTAAAGTTATATTTATAAATTATAACTAATATAGACTATAATATAATACATAATATATAATTTATATTATTATAATTTAATTAATTATGTATTATTATGCAAATAATATTAAATAATTTATAAATATAATTGATTTTTTTTTATAAGTTTTATAAATTTTTAGTAAATAATAGATAAATAGTTATCAAATTTTTAATGAATAGTTGATAAACTTTTAATGAATAGTTATAATAAATAGTTGTTGAATTTTTAATAAATAGTTTAATAAATAGTTGATAAATTAATAATAAATTAATAGATCAATATTGAATTTTTATTGAATTATTAATAAATAATTTTATATCAAATTTTTATTGAATTGTTAATAAATTTTTATTAAATAATTAATAAATTATTTGATAAATTATTAATGAATTTTTAACAATTTATTGTTAAACTTTTAATTGATAAATTTTTGATTGGCAAATTTTTTAATTGGCAAATTTTTTAATTGTTAAAATTTTTATTGTTAAATTTTTAATTGCTAAAATTTAATTATTGAATTTTGATTGCTGAATTTTTTATCATCATTTTATTATTGAAATAATAATATGTCAAGTGATAGCAATCAAAAAAAAAATTTTAACAATATTTTTTATTATTAAATTTAATCAAATTAAGCAATAATTCGACTACTGAATAATATAATTTTGACTAGTATATATAATAAACAAAATTATATATTAATAAAAAAATAAGTTTTTTAAATATTTTTGAAATTTATATAAAAGTAAATAAGTTTCTTAAATAATCTGAAATAATATAATTATTTTAATTAAGGAAATCTCTTTTAAGTAAAAATTGTTAACTTGAATAAGAACTTTTTGAATAAATTTTATTTATTTATTTGTTTGTTTTATTAATACATTAATTTAACAATTTATTATTGTTTATAATAATCTATAGTAACAAATTGGTAATAATAATTCTAATAGATAGAAATTATTAGAATCAATTTATTAAAAAAAAAAAATGAAATATAGTTCCTTAAAGTATTTAGTTGAAACATTATTTATTTAGTTCGAATTAACTTTATGAACTTTTTATATTTTTAAAGTAATATATACTAACTAGTTTTACAATTAATAATATACTGTATAATAACAAGTTAGCTATCATTTAAATTATAAATATAATATTGTAAATATTTATTCAATGCCTCAATAAAGACATGCCATTGCGGATTATAAACAATAAAATATACATACTGTATTATATTAATTTTATTAATTTGTACTTTTGATTTTCAAATATTGTACAAGTATAAAATAAATAATGGGAATGAGAATTTATTTGATTATGTAAAAATAAACAATCAAGAGAATCATTGTTTTTTTTTAGAAAGTTATTTAATATTGCTATATTCTGGGCTCATCAAATATTAAACAGAAAAGGGATGTTTTGCCGCCGGAAAAATGCGCCAACTTTTCATTAAAAAATATATACAGATTCCTTTTTATGGAGAACATGACATGGGTCCATCACAATCTTTATAAGGATGAAATAATTACCATTCTCACATAATCGCAAAAAGTGCCCATTCCATTTCATACCTTTCTTTCCTTTAAAACTTTCTCTCTTCCTCGATACGCTAACGAAAGATGAATGCTGCGGCAAGAAAAAAGCATTGTAATCTATTAATGTTTGACGTGCCAAAGCCAAGTTCTGGCGCCCCCCAAAATCAATCTTTTATGATAGATTACACCACTTCCTTGGAGAATAGCACTATCCGTGCTCAAGATAACTTCATATTTACCTCCTTTGTTGAGCCCATGAGGGTAAGACCTCAAACTCCTACTAGGAATGCGGCTCCTGAATCCGAAGTTTTAACAAAGGAAGACGCAGGAATCAATTCGACAAAAATCTCTAATGACACATCGAAGCGCACCCCAAGGCCGCCAAATGCATTTATACTTTATAGAAAAGCAATGCAGTCGGAAATAACTGCAAAAAAAGGAAATATTTCTAATACAAATATCTCCCGAATTCTGTCAAGACAGTGGAGAGATGAAAAGGAAGAAGTCAAATTATATTGGCGAAAATTAGCCGATAAAAAAAAGGTAGAACATATGGAGGCACATCCTGGATATATATATCGCCCTAAAAAGTCTGGGACTAATAGTAAAAAAAGGTGTCGAAAAACCACCACCACTACCAACTCCACTCTTCCTCCCAATACTACATATACTAATACTCATCTAAATCAACCTTCTGCGCCCCTCTCAATGGGGAATAATCCGACATTAACTATCAATTCCCAACCCTCGTTTGAAAACTTCGAATTTAATGATTTATTGTGGGATTTTTCGCAAGTTCCACAATATTATGCGTTGCCAGATTTCTATAATTATTCAAATGAATATCTGACAAATGACTTTGATCCCTATTTTTATTCGCAACAATTGGAAGAATTTCCGATGTGCCAATTTTACAATAATAATTAATCAATATACTTTTTTTTTCTATATGAATTTTAAAAACTATGATATGCATTTAAATATGTATTAGAGCTTAACTACAGCTAGTTTAGTTCGATTTGAATGGTAACTCTAAATTCTAAGAACAACTTTATGATCATATGTAAATATTTCATTTTAGTTACGTTAAACGATTCAACATTATTCGATTTTTATTCGTATTTGTATCATGTGATAACTTACTAATTGTATGTTTGTTATTGTTTCTATATAATGATGCAAATAAATAAAAATCTTTACTAACCTTAAACCAAAATACTGAATATGATTTTTTCGGTTTCCATTTTTTATTTAGGATCACGATTATGTGGTCCGAAAAATCCCTGTCCGCCTTCGAAAATAGCTACCCAAATACACAGTATATACAGTACATTAAAATTTGACTATTAAAGTTATTACTCTTTTTATCTTTATTGGACGATATTTTACCGATGCCTTCTATAAAATTTGTACTGTAACCAAATCTTACTTTGATATCAGATAAGGCACGTTTAAAATAAACAAACAAGATAACGCCATGGGTCAACTGTAGACAATGGATGATTTGTGTTACTTTCGCTGCAAGGTTTTTCCTATCAAAAACAAGTGATTACTCCTATTGTATTGGACACAATTACAATTATTGCCTGGGCTAAGGGTGTGTCACCGTAAAAAAGTTTTAAATATAAAATTTCAGTAATATCGGTTTCTCCAAATCGCTTAAGATATTCATTTCTTCGATGGAAGGTTTTTTGTGTATTGTTTTATTTATAGTTTTCATATTAATTCAATCATTTTGGGATTTATATTAAAAAAATATAATAATAATGAACAAACAATTATTCTTAATCGAAAATTAAAAATTAAATAATAGTTTTAATAATAGATATATTGATTATTTTTTTTTTAAACCCTTAGTCAGGCTAGGTACATATGTGTGCTTTATTAAACGTCTGTATGCTTTACATTTTAAAATGTTTCGCTAAATCCAAATCTCTATCTAACTCACTTATCTCTGTTTTTCTAAAACTCTAAGTGTAACTTTGGAAGTGATTTTTCACTCCATTAGTAGTTCGGGTAAAAACTCTTCCAACAGCTAACTTCATTGCCTGCAGGCTACTATGGCAGTTAAAAATAGATATTGATTTAAAAAATAAAATCATAAAATATAATTAAATACAAAATAAAATTTAAATAATAGAAAAATATTTAAATTTAAAGTTATATATAACAATTGTCAATACTTTTAATTTATTTTAATTGTTATTTTCAAAAATCTTTATTAAATATTATGTGTTTATTATAAATTTTAGCTTTATCAATTTAAAAGTCCTTAAAAGATACAATTCTTTCTATTAATAATTTGACTATATATATAAAAAAAAAAATAATTGTCAATTTAAAATTTTTTGATTAATAAAGTTTATTACTATTTTTAAAACAATTTAAAAAGTATCTTTAATAGTTACTATCAACCATTTTCATAAATATATAATTTTTTAACTTTTAACTTGATATTGTAAAGTATTTAATTACTTATAAATATAAAATAAATTGTTTAAAATTATATTAAATAAATATTAAATAACAAGAAATAAACTTAATGTTTTTAGCCATATAGTATATACAACCACCTAATCTATTAATCTACAAGTTACTAATCATTTATTAAATAAAGATAACTTCATATTCCAAGTGATCAAATCAATAAAAAACATAAAAATAATCTTTTAAAGTTGAAAATAATAAGATACTTTTGAATAGTATAAAGGAAATAGTCTGATTAGGAAATATCTTATATTAGAAGAATATAAAAAAGCTATATTATTATTTAAAAATAATAGACTAATATAAAATAATCTTTTAAAGTTAAAAATAATAAGATATTTTTGACTAGTATAAAGGAAATAGTCTAATCAAGAAATATCTTATATTAGAAGAATATAAAAAAGTTATATCATTACTTAAAAATAATAAACTAATATATTTGAATCAATTAATTGATTGAAAAATCAAAAAAATAAAAAATTGGCAAATACTTTAACTTTTATAAAATATGGTTGCTTCCAAAAGTTTGAGTCCACTTACTA